CTGTTTCCTGAGTATTCCACATGGTCCCGCAGAATTCCTAATGATTTCCTAGGCTTCCTGAAGAGACCTGGTGAGGATTGTGGCTGTCCGACGGCGTTTTCACGGAACCCAGAGAATTCGAAAGTGTTTCCCGGGATAACCTATAGGAACCATTGCAATCAAGAAGACATAACATTGTGACGGCAGCCCGGGTGGGCTATTCGATCCCAGCCGATCAGCCGATCAGCCGATCAGGCGCCTACCAGCCGATCAGCCGATCAGCCGATCAGCCTTATCGGCTGATCGGCTGATCGGCTGGTAGGCGCCTGATCGGCTGATCGGCTGATCGGCTGGTCGGCGCCTGATCGGCTGATCGGCTGATCGGCTGGTCGATCGCTGATCGGCTGATCGGCTGATCGGCTGGTCGACCGCTGATCGACTGATCGGCTGCCGTCCAGTTCCCCTTGAGACATCCTCGCAGCTCCGGGCTCAGAGGTCTCCTGACCCGAGGTGGTCGGGCCAGTCACGCCTGCGACATCTTCCTGTCTTTGGGTTCGGAGATGCCCCGCACGAGGTGGTCCATCCAATTCCGTCTGAGACCTTCTCGCAAGTCCAGGCTCAGAGATCCCCTGACCTGAGGTGGTCGGGCCAGTGTCGCGTGAGACATCCTCGCAACTCCGCGCTCAGAGGTCCCCTGACCTGAGGTGGTCGGGCCAGTTCCGCCTAAGGCATCCTCGCCACTCCGGGCTCAGCGATCCCCTGACCTGAGGTGGTCGGGCCAGTCTCACGTGAGACATCCTCGCAACTCCGGGCTCAGAGATTCCCTGACCTGAGGTTGTCGGGCGCAACTACGACCACTACTGCTACTTCTGCTACTACTACTACCACTACTACACTACTAATACTACTACTATACTACTACATACTACTACTACTACTACTATACTACTTACTACCACTACTAATGTCTACTACGACGGCTATTGCTAGTTTTATTGCCACGACTGTGCTATTACTATATGCTACTCCCGTACTAGTTACTAGTACTACTACTAACTTACTACTACTACTACTACTACTACTCCTACTACTACTACTACTACTACTATAATACTACCTACTACTACTACTACTTACTACTATAACTACTACTACTACGACTACGAGGGTGAGGGGGGGGGGGGGGTACGAATACTAATACTACTACTACTACTACTACTACTACTACTACTACTACTACTACTACTACACTACTACTACTACTAATATACTACTACTACTACTACTACGACCTACTACTACTACGACTCGATACGACTACTACTACTACTACTACTACTACTGCGGCTACTACTACTACTACTACTACTACTACTACTACTACTACTACTACTACGATTACTACCACTACTACTGCTACTACTACTACTACTACTACTACTACTACGCTACTACTACTACTACTACTACTACTACTACTACTACTACTACTACTACTACTACTACTACTACTATTACTACCAGTACCACTGCTACTAGTACTACTGTTACTATTACTACTGGGACTACTACTACTGCTGCTACTAGTACTAAGACTACTACTTCTACTATTTCTACTAGTCCTATTACTGCTACTACCACGCCTACTACTACCACTACTACTACTAGTACTAAGACTACCACCACTACTACTGCTACTACTACTACTATTACTACTACTACTACTACTACTTCTACTACTACTACTACTACTACTACTACTACTACTACTACTACTACTACTACTACTACTACTACTACTACTACTACTACTACTACTACTACTACGACTACTACTACTACTATTACTACTTCCTACTACTACACTACTACTACTACTACTACTACTACTACTACTACTACTACTACTACTACTACTACTACTACTACTACTACTAGTACTACTAGTACTACTAGTACTACTACTATACGCCTGAAAAACACGACTGTCGGCATGCTTCGCTGGAGTTGCTGTTTGGGGATGGGCTGGTGGGGATACGCGAAGCGTGAAGAATTCGCATACTTTCGCGCACCTTGAGGGCTCTGGAATACGTGCGCATTCGCCGTCGCCGGCAGCGCCGCCGCCGTCGTCGTCCCTCTTCGGGGTCGGCGGCACCTGTCGTCAGCCCCCTCCTCCTCCTTCTCCTCCTCCTGCTCCTCCTCCTCCTGCTCCTCCTCCTCCCCCATCCCCTCCCCCGCCCCTCCCCGTTCCCTATTCTCCTCCTCATCCTCATCCTCCTCCGCATTCTTCCGCAACCTTACCCTCTCTCCCCCCTCCCCCCGCCCTTGCCCCCCGATCGTCCTCTTTCCCCCGCGCCCTTCTCCGTCGCCTCCGCCGTCCTCCGTTTCCTCCCCCTCCCCTTTGCTCCTCAGCCTGGCCCACCCCGCTAGAATGCGGCGTTTTCCGCTTCAGTCTTCTGGCACAAACTCTGGGCCCGATGGCCCGAGCCTGATAGAAGCCAGAATGCCACCAACTCTGCATACGTCAGCGGCAACTCCGACACATAATCCGACACCGGCAAACCTTTTGCTGGAACATAGGTGGTGCCGATGCCCAAGTACCAAAATCGGAGTATCTTCTGGTATTCACATAATTCGTACAGGATGTCCACTCCGGCTCTTGTAGAAATCGCCGTGGTGGTCCCGCAGCCACTCGATGATATACCGAAGCATTGGCAGATCCGCCGACCTGCGTGGAGGTGTCAGGCACGAGGAGCCGCCCCGCCGAAGACGCGGTGCGAACTATGTTGGGGGGAGAGGAGGACCAGAGGACCGCACCGCTCCCAGCACGCCGTAGGTAGACAGGCGGCGGTATTGAAGACGACAGCATTCCTCTCCGCCGCGCGCCGGTCGCTGCGGAGCTCGCTACCCCGCGCGCGCGCCGCCTGTCGGCAAGCGACCGAGCGCGAGCGAGGGCAAGGCGGCGACGGCGAAAGCCCCCTGCATAATGGATGTTCTTCTGCCTCGGCGGCGTCCCTTCGTGCAGCACGAAAGGGAGCCCGAAGAGATAATTTGCCGTCCTGCAAGGCCCAACTCCGATTACAGTGACCAATTTATACTGCTCTTGCACCCCGCTCAGGTCCCCGCCCAAGGCGTGGGACAGGCAATCCACGAAGTCGCACAATAATTCTTTGGCTCTGAACCCACTGCCGCTGTATCCCCGGACCGACTGGAGACCCTCGAAAAACTTTGGCACGTCCAAATCCTTGGCGAAAGCCGAGACAAGATCGACGCCGACGGCTTGGAACGCATGCAAGTCCGCCAGCAAATCGGCGAATCCATGCACGGGGCGCTCACCGCGGGTGCGCATGGGGTTCACATAATCACCGAATAAACCTTTGCAGCCAGTGGCGTGAGCGACCTCCAGCCATACCCACGACTTTTCGGCGAGCGCCGCCCGCACCGCATCGCCCAGCGTGTTCCGCATCAGCGCCACGTTGAGGAGAAATTCCAGTAGCAAGTCCGTGGAGCCGAGACCGAGGGTGCCTGCGCGTCGGCGCAAGTGCTTCTCGTAATGCTCATACGCCTGCACGGTCGCCTTGGCATCGAGGCGGGACCGGGGATTCACGCGCACCAAGCAAGCCAGGTCAGAACACACCAATGACTTCTCCACCCCGCGCAATTGCATCATCGCGTCCCGCCGCTGCCCGAAATTCACCATGGTCTGAACCCGCTCCGCGAAGCAGCTCCTCTTGAACCATGCGTCGTGGCCTAAGCTCGTCGACAGCGACCCGGGACTGTGGGCCATGCGATCCTGCGGTGTGAAATTAATTATTGGACGTGGCAGAGTGCTGGGCGGTGCTGTAGGGGTCGTAATTGAGCACGTCTGGCACCTGGGTATCAACCCACGCGGGCCTCTTCTTTCTAGCTGGGTTGATGGCGTTTCGCATCGCGTCCTCCGACAACGCCACGCCGTAAATGCATGTCTGGTCGTTCTTGTGCGTGGCTTGGCCCGGGTGTTCGAACGCAGCGAGAGCCCGACACGCGGCGCAATTGAGGTCGAGCTCCCGGCGCCGCTGCGCATCAGATTTGCCAGTGATCTTCCCGCCCAGGCGTGGACTGCAGAGCCAGCCGAGAAATGGATACCTCTCTGCTGTGGATGCATGAATCTTCGAAAGGAAATCCTGGTACTGGTCGACGGCGCGCTCCAGAATCGCCGTTGTCAGGGCGAGCGCCAAGCTCAGCGTCGAGCGCTCGCTTCCAGTTTCGTCTCTCCGTGACACGCCATACGATGTGGACATACGGCGCAATCCGTCACCATGTTTGTTTTCATGGCCGGGCATGTCGGGAGCCGTTGGGGTTGTCTGGCAGGGCAGCTTACTGAACGAGAGTTCCCGCTACGCTGGCACAAGGCTTGGAACTGACAGGCAATCGAATGGCCTTTGCCCAAGGCCCGCCACTACCTTCAGGTAGTCGTCACGGAGGGGTCCAGCGCTGGCCCCATCACCGGACGTCAGCCAAGCCGCGACGTCGCTGCTGCTCGGCGCTGTCACGGCACCACCGCCCACGTCAAGCAGCACGGTTGCGGATTGTAGCAATCCGAGAACTAGGCCCCTGGTAGGCCAGTCGGGCGTGGTGCAAAAATCACCCCCCTCCTGTTCCTCCTCCTCTTCCTCCTCCTCCCCCTCCTCCTCCTCCTCCTCCCCCTCTCCCTCATCTTCATCCTCTTCCTCCTCCTTCTCCTCCTCCTCCTCCTCCTCCTCCTCCTCCTCCTCCTCCTCTTTCCACTTCCTCACTCTCCTGTCCTGGCCATCCACTTGCTCACTGCTCCAACTTGAATCTCGTTTTCTCCACTCGCTGCCTCCCTTTCCTGACGTTACCCTTGCGTCCTCCTGGCGCGTGCCTCCTCCCCCCCTCCTTGTACGCAACGGCGGGGGTTGCCGTAGGCGATTGGTTGCCGTAGGCGATTGCCGAATGCACCCTCGCAGCTGGAAGGGCCTACGGCGGTAGGCACGCCAGAATCTGCCACCGTGCCATTGCACGGAATGGGCGTATACTCGGGTCCCGAACCCAATCTGTCGCCCCAAGAGATCTCCAAGAGATTCCAAAACGGCCCAAGAGGGCACCAAGACGGCCCAATAGGCCACCAAGACGGCCCAAGAGAGGCCGAAGACGGATCCCAGAGGACGCCCCAACGGGGAATCCGAACGGACAATTCGAGCCCTCGGCCCCGAGAAGCCCCTGGGAAGCCCCCAGAGGCACCCAAGAGGCCACCACGGGGCCCCCACAGCCTAGGCACGGTGGCGGGATGAGCCGAAGGCAATTAGATCCGCCGCCCCCTGCTTGCAGGGGTGCACGGCGTGCTGGACGAGCTGTTAGGTTTTGGTTTTGGTTCTTTTTCCAAAAGAACTCCCCAGTGGGCTCCGGCAGAACCCGCCACCGTGCGCAAAAACGGCCGTTTCGCTCGGGACATCCTCAAACAATCGCGAAGATGGCCCAAGATGGCCTCCAAGTCCGCCCGAGATGGTCCAAGACGGCCTCCAAAACGGCCCAAGAGAGTCCAAGACGGCCCAAGACGGCCCAAGAGGCCCCCCAGAGGCCTCCCAGACGGCCCAAGAGGCCTCCAAGAGGTCCTCCAGGAGAGTCCGAAGAGGGCAAAATCATTGATTTTCCTTGGTTTTTGAAGGATTTTGGCATTTGCGCCTTTTCGGCTCTCCGACGGCTCAAGACGGCCCAAGAAGCCCCCAAGATCGCCCAAGAGGCCCCCAAGAGAGCCCCATGATGGCCCAAGTGGCCTCCAAGATGGCCCCTAGAGGGCCCCAAGAGGGCCCAAGAGGCCTCCAACACGCCCAAGATGGCCTCCCAGACGAGATGGCCCCAAGAGGCCTCCAACACGCCCAAGATGGCCTCCAAGACGCCCAAGATGGCCTCCAAGACGGCCCCGAGCGCCCCAAGAGGGTCCCCCGTTGGCCCAGAAAGGCCCCCAAAACGGCTCCCGACGGCGTCAGACGTGCCAGGAACCCACCAAGATGGCCGAAGTTGGCTCGAAGCTGGCCCAAAAGGGCCCAAGAGGCCCCCAAGAGGGCCTCCAGGAAGGCCAAAAGATGCCAAAATCACTGATTTTCCCAAGGTTTTTGATGGATTTGGGCATTTCCCTTCTTTCGGCCTTCCGACGGCCCGAGACGGCCCAAGAGCCCCCAAAGATCGCCGAAAGATCGCCCAAGAGGCCTCCAAGACGACGACGATGACCATCAAGACGCCCACGTGTTCCCCGAAGGCTTTCCAAACCGATTCGGGGAACACATGGTCCGATGGCTTGGCAGGTCTGGCCTCAACGTTCGGCCACATAGGCGCTTCCACAAAGGCAGGGGGCGGCGGTGATTCGCCGTAGGCGTCTTCGATCCGCCGCCCCCTGCTTGCAGGGGTGCACGGCGTGCTGGATGTTTCAGGTTTTGGTTTTGGTTCTTTTTCAAAAGAACTCCCCAGTGGCTCGGCAGAACCGCGCCACCCGGAAGCCCCCAAACGTGCTCAACGACCGAAAAAGACCCATCTCTCAATGCCCAAAAACGGCCGTTTCGCTCGGGACATCCTCAAAAAATCGCGAAGATGGCCCAAGATGGCCTCCAAGTCCGCCCGAGATGGTCCAAGACGGCCTCCAAAACGGCCCAAGAGAGTCCAAGACGGCCCAAGACGGCCCAAGAGGCCCCCCAGAGGCCTCCCAGACGGCCCAAGAGGCCTCCAAGAGGTCCTCCAGGAGAGTCCGAAGAGGGCAAAATCATTGATTTTCCCTTGGTTTTTGAAGGATTTTGGCATTTGCGCCTTTTCGGCTCTCCGACGGCTCAAGACGGCCCAAGAAGCCCCCAAGATCGCCCAAGAGGCCCCCAAGAGAGCCCCCTGATGGCCCAAGTGGCCTCCAAGATGGCCCCTAGAGGGCCCCAAGACGGCCCAAGAGGCCTCCAACACGCCCAAGATGGCCTCCAAGACGCCCAAGATGGCCTCCAAGACGGCCCTGGAGCGCCCCAAGAGGGTCCCCCGTTGGCCCAGAAAGGCCCCCAAAACGGCTCCCGACGGCGTCAGACGTGCCAGGAACCCACCAAGATGGCCGAAGTTGGCTCGAAGCTGGCCCAAAAGGGCCCAAGAGGCCCCCAAGAGAGCCTCCAGGAAGGCCAAAAGATGCCAAAATCCATTGATTTTCCCAAGGTTTTTGATGGATTTGGGCATTTCCCTTTTTTCGGCCTTCCGACGGCCCGAGACGGCCCAAGAGCCCCCAAAGATCGCCGAAAGATCGCCCAAGAGGCCTCCAAGACGGCGAAGATGACCATCAAGACGCCCACGTGTTCCCCGAAGGCTTTCCAAACCGATTCGGGGAACACATGGTCCGATGGCTTGGCAGGTCTGGCCTCAACGTTCGGCCACATAGGCGCTTCCACAAAGGCAGGGGGCGGCGGTGATTCGCCGTAGGCGTCTTCGATATGTAAGAAGTGGAATGGAATTGAAAATCGATGTATCGACGTGAAGATCTCGAGCAAAAATGTGTTCGGAAGAAAAGCGGACGCTACGACAACGACGACGACAAGGAACGAGGATAACTAAATTGAAGGGAAAGGAGAGAGTAGAGAGAGAGTGAGAGAGAGAGAGAGTGAGAGAGAGAGATAGAAAGAAGGAGAGAGAGTAGATTAATGAGCGAGGAAACGGACCACCTCGCGCGGGGCATCTCCGAGCCAAAAGATGGGAGGATGTCTCAGGCGAGACTGGCCCGACCACCTCAGGTCAGGGGATCTCTGGGCCCGGGGTTGCGAGGATGTCTCACTCGAGACTGGCCCGACAACCTCAGGTCAGGGAATCTCTGAGCCCGGAGTTGCGAGGATGTCTCACGTGAGACTGGCCCGACCACCTCAGGTCAGGGGATCGCTGAGCCCGGAGTGGCGAGGATGCCTTAGGCGGATTTGGCCCGACCACCTCAGGTCAGGGGACCTCTGAGCGCGGAGTTGCGAGGATGTCTCACGCGACACTGGCCCGACCACCTCAGGTCAGGGGATCTCTGAGCCTGGACTTGCGAGAAGGTCTCAGACGGAATTGGATGGACCACCTCGTGCGGGGCATCTCCGAACCCAAAGACAGGAAGATGTCGCAGGCGAGACTGGCCCGACCACCTCGGGTCAGGAGACCTCTGAGCCCGGAGCTGCGAGGATGTCTCAAGGGGAACTGGACGGCAGCCGATCAGTCGATCAGCGGTCGACCAGCCGATCAGCCGATCAGCCGATCAGCGATCGACCAGCCGATCAGCCGATCAGCCGATCAGCCGGAGGCCATCTTGGGCGTCTTGGAGGCCTCTTGGGCGATCTTGGGGGCCTCTTGGGCCGTCGGAAGCCGAAAAACAAGAAAAAGTAACAACAAACCATTCAAACACCCAAGAAACAACGATGATGTTGCTCTCTTCGGGCCATCCTGGAGGACCTCTTGGAGGCTTCTTGGGCCATCTTGAAGGCCTCTTGGAGACCTCTGGGGCCGTCTTGGGCCCTCTTGGGGGCTTCTTGGACAAACTTGGAGGCATCTTGGATTCTCTTGAGCCGTCTTGGGCGAACTTGCAGGCCATCTGAGCCGTCGTAGAGGCCATCTTGGGCCATCTTGGAGCGGGAAAGGCCACGACTGGCCCAGTTTGCGCTCCCTTGCGGGCCTTTCCGGGAGGCCGGCGGGCTGGTTCAGGGAGCATTCTGTTGGAAAAGAACCAAAACCCAAAGCGGTAGCGTACAGCACGCCGGGCACCCCTGCGCTAAATCAACAGGGGGCGGCGGATCTAATGGCCTCCGGCCCATCCCGCCGCCGTGCCGGGATTGTGGGTCTGAGTCAGAGGCCTCTTGGCTGCCTATTGGGGTCTCTTGGGAAACTTTCGGGGAGCTTGTTGTTGAAGGCAGTTTTGAAGCCTCTTGGGGCTTCATAGGGGGACCGGTTGGGAGCCTCTTGAAGCTTTTTCTGGGCCTATTGAGGGCCTCTTGGGTCCTCGTGGGGGCCTCTTGTCGGCCCTGTGGCGGTCTCGGCCCTCCCCCTTCGGGGCGCAGTGCTCGACATCTCAAGTTGGCTTGCCCATCTTGGGCTCATCTTGGGGCCCTCTTGAGGCCATCTTGGGCCGTCTTGGACCTCTCGGCCGAAGATCGGCCGACCCAGCTTCGGAGCCGATCAGCCGATCCGCCGATCAGCCGATCAGCGACCGAGCAGCCGATCGGCTGATCGGCCTGATCGGCTGATCGGCTGATCGGCTGGGCTCGGATACCACCCGGGGCGCCGTCGCCCTGAGAAACAA